GTGTTTCCATGGAGCAGATTTCTTTTTTTAAATGCAGTTGCAAAAATAAATTTGTTTATGCCGTCAATAGAAACACAGCTAGTTTGGAATATTGTTTCTGCTGCCCTGATACTGACTTTCACACCGTCTTTAGTCAGAGGTCTCTTTAGATTTGATGCAAGACTGATTGCTACAGGAGATAATCTTTTTAGCCAAATAGTTGGTTCTCTTGCGTTTTTTGTTGATTGCAGAGATCCAGATGTGTAGCATTCAGGAAGAACCTCACCTCGTCCGTGGTCAGGCCGAAGTCGTTGGGCACCACCTGCCTGTAGCGAAAGCGGCACGGAAGGTCGTCGATGATGTCCTCATAGTCCAGCTTGTAGTACTCGTCCAGGTACTGCTCGAAGGTTTTCTCCTCTGAAATGAGAGGGATGGCATCAGGCGAGGCAGCCACCAGGGCAACGGCCGGGTTCGGGACGCTTCCAGGCACTTACGGGGGTCAAACACCGGCTTGGTTCTGGTGATGACCTCAACGAAGTGAGACTTCTTCTTCTTCTTGCCCATCTGTGGCAGATCGTCCTTCTTCAGCTTCTTCTTCTCCTTTTTCTTCTTCTTCTTGGAGGCGGTGTGCTGGCTTGGGTCGTAGTCTGCATCCATCTGTATGAACAGAGTGACCGCTTCGCTAAGCAAAGCTAAAACAAAACAGTTTCGGGCAAAATAAGGTCGACTCACGATGAAGTCTTCGTCGTCGCAGTGCGGTCCAGAGGCGCTGTACTCCTCTTCGTCAAACCCTTCTTCACGTTCCTCTCCAGTCCATGTGTCCCAATTCCAGTGTTCTGAAAACACAGAAGAAACTTCAAATGAAGCAGAAGAACCACAGCATCTGAAATAAACAAATGAATAAAAAATAAAGGCAGCAGCTCACCATCCATCTCGTTTCCTTCGTCGTCAAACTGAGGCTTCTCCTCTTCGTCTTGTCCGTAGTACTCGTCTCCAAAGAATTTCTGCAAACATGTAATGTTGCAGATCAATTTAAAAGCTTATTTTGACCAGAAAAACTAAATGAAAATAGCATTTAAGAGGGTGAAAGTCTTGATTGTCAAGTTAAACATTATTTTAAGTGAACGCTAGCAGAGCACCGGTTGCAGTTTTCTGGCCGAGCCGAGTCCAATTTTTGCTGATATTGACTTTTTATAACTGATACAGTGACTTAGCTGGCAAACTGGCAACTGTTAACCACACACATGATTAAAACCTAACCTTGACTGAAGAATTTGAAACAAAAAAGTGAGAATTATGGGTGTTAGTTATGGCAGAATATTTTTTAAAGGATAGCAAGAAAGAAAAACATGATGACTGCAGAGACTGATGCATTTTGATGAGGGCTGGTCGATAAAATAATTTGATCAATTAATACAATTGTTTTGAAGAATTACTTTTTGGAAAAAAAATAAGGATTTGTTTTTTGTTCCCCCCCTTTCCAGATCTTAAAGGCAGCCATCTTGTTTTACAGTTTCTATCTATTTGGACACTAAATTCTTGAGTTAAGGTCGACGATAACAAGATGCAACTGTTTACCTAACATTTGTTTCCCTTTTTTCACAAAAATAGTCAAAACGACACAAATATGTCGAAATACTTGAATAAATTTGTGATATTAGGAGAATGAAGTAATAATAATATGAGAACTTCCACACATAAAATAAAATTATGCAAGATTTGGTCTTATTGAAAACAACTTCTCATAATTTTGAGACATTCTTCATGTAAAATTATGACAACATTCTCGCAATTAAACAAAATTCTTGTTTATCTGTCAGTAGTCCATCTTACAAATCACAGAAGGGATGATTGGAATAAAAGCAACTTTTTACAAATGTGTCATTTGTAATTTCTTTTAGAAAAAAATAATCTTTAGGTAGATTTTATCTGAAGCCCCAATCCTGACATACGAATGATGCTGAAAAAAGTTAGCAATGCAATGCAGTGTTGCATCTGTGAATATGTAGGAAATGTTAACTATGATCGAATCTTAAAAACCGACTTAGTTATTGGATGCTGCTGCTAATGTAAGATAGGTGGGTGTAACTAAAATGAGTTTAACTTCTACCCACTCCTCTGAACGTGCAAATATACTTTTTTGTTTTGCCTTTCCTTGTATGTAACTTTGTTTATCCTTTCGTTCACTGAAGTCAATGCGGGTTCCTGTCCTGACCTGCATGAGCTGGTCGTGCTGGTTGGGGTCGAAGTCTCCGTCCAGGTCAGCCTGACTGAAGGCCAGCTGCTCGTTCCCGGTCAGCTCCTGCAGCTGCTGCAGCTTGTCCATGATCTCCTTCCTCTTCAGGTTCTTCAGCTGCTTCAGCTGCTCCCGCTTCTGCTCCTTCTCCTGGAATCACGCACACAGCCGCTTCGTGAGCCTGTGTTAGCATTAGCGTTAAGTTTTTTTTTTTTTTTTTTTTTGTACCGTACGTACCTTCAGCTTCCTCTCCTTCACCTCCTCCCTCTTCTGCTTCCTGCGGTCGTCCTTGGTGCGGACGGACGTGGCGATGTTTCGGGGGTAGGTCTTGATCTGCAGGGCGCCGGGCTCTTCGAAGCGGAAGTTGTAGCTCCGCTCGAAGTCCTCCTGGCGCTCCAGGAAGCTCTCGCCCTCCTCCTCGGAGTCGTCCACGTCCTCCTGGACCAGCTCGTCGTACGTCGGGATCCTGAACAGATTCGGAGGATTTGAAAGTGATTATTGTGAACATTTGAGGGAGGACTCCAGGCGTATTGGCTGCGCACCGTTCGTCGTCGTTGTCCTCCTCCTCGTCCAGGTAGCCCTTGTTGAGCACGTAATCCCGGAGGAATCGCTCCTTGTCGTCCAGCTGCGGGTCATTCCAGTAGTCGCGCAGGTATTTCTGTCACAACGGGGGGAAAAAAATTAAAAATCATATTTCCAATAGATAATCCAATATTCATACCTGTAGCAGCCTCAGTATTGAAAAATAATCGGTCACAATGTGCCTGATCCATAAGGGCAGATCTATTTAGTCTAATTCTGAGCAACATCACGCTTTATTATTCATCTCACATTTAAAAATTCCAAATTGCACTTTATGAATAATTTAAAATAAGTTTTGTTGCAGTTTATTATTATTTTTCTTTACATTTTTTGTTTAAGATAGTCAACCTATTGTTTTCGTCAGTTTCAATTTATTTATTTTACTCCTCATTGCGCCGACTCAACAAATTATAGTTGTTTTTGCATGTTTGACCAGGCATGTGAAGGAACTGCTGTATTACAGTGAGCTGAGCTGATGCAGAGTTTCTCTTTTTTCTCTTTCTACCAAAAACTGCATCTTCATGGTGTGCTGTGGTGGCGCAGGGGTTAAGCACAACCCACATATGGAGGGAGGCCTTAGTCCTCAATGCGGCTGTCACAGGTTTGATTCCCGGCCTGGTGACATTTGCTGCATGTCTTCCCCTTCTCTATTACCCACTTTCCTGTCAATTTGCTCTATCAAATAAAGCCCACTAGAGCCAATAAAACCTTTAAAAAAAAACAAAAACAACCTGCATCATCATCTGGTGTTTCGGTCTCCAGCAGCCCTGAAGGAAAATGCTGTTTACAGAGCCTTCATACCTCAATTTATTTGTCGTTTATGTTGTTTTGTTTATTTATTTTGGATATTTAAAATGTCTTCCAGTTCCAGAGTTAAATGTTCATTGAATTTTGAAGTTTGTTGATCTTTGACAATGTGTTCTTGTGTTATTATGCCATCATCAATACATTACTTAAAAATGGTCTGAAAACAACTAACTTATCGTTTATTGCGATAACTCCTAGAATCCCCGTATTGTGATTTAACGCTGGGATCTCACCATGTCCTTCACCTCCTCCGGACCGTCCAGCTCAGCCTGACCTTTGAGCCAGTCCACATAATCCGCCTCCTCTTTATCCTGAAAACACACACGCGGGAAGTGTTGGTTTTGTCAAGTCGCTGCTTAAAAACACGAGCGGAGGCCGTTTCCTGACCTTCTCCTCCTGCGTTTTGATCCTTCTGGTGAGCAGCTTGGAGGCTTCGCCTTCCTCCTCCTCTTCCTCGTCGCTGTCCTCGACAAACTTCCGGAAGCTGCGGGGACGTTTGGGTTTCTGTCAGCGGGCGTCCGGGCGCAATCGCTTAACGAACGTCTGACCTCACCTCTCTTTGAGCTCCTTCTGCTCCTGGATGTAGCTCGGCGAGGCTGCCCTCTGTCACAAGAAGACAACGCCGACTCAGCAAACAGTCATTTTCCCAATAAAAAAAATTTAATCAGAATTATTCATCTGAAAACGTTTGCACACCTCTCTTCTTTTGGCTGCCTCCTCCTCGTCGCTGTCATCATCGTCTTCATATTTGCTGCAATTAGACATTTTTAAACACTTGTTACTGCCTGACATACAGCAGCATTTCCTCTTTTAATCCACGTTTCCCCCCATAATTCTATCATTAATCTGGTAAAGAGACACAAAAATGACCAATTTTAAGTTTTTTGAAAATTCAATATTCAAGTCAATATTGTTAGTTTTACCTTTATCTCCACTGTTTGTTCAATGAAAGCATCAATACATTTGAAAATATGATTAAACACAGTTACTGTTTGCAGTTCAGTGATATAAGTAACTCTTCTTCAACTGGTGTCATAAAGAAGCATTTTACAAATGGGAAAGTTTTTTTCAAGAGCAGTATTTGTTTTTTTGTGGGGCGACAATCGCTGCTACACGCAGACAGGATTACACTAAAAAAAAAGAAATGAATAGTTCTCATCGTTACTTTTATCGTGATCACAATTTTAATCACAAAATATCGTTTACAATACAACTTTATCGTCCAACCCTACTGTGGCACCATTCAGTTTGTTAAAAGTGACAAATCTTGGGACTTTTTTTTTGTTTGTTTTGATGCTTTTTACAAATCTTCCCAGGGGCACCAAACATCTGCACTCACCCTTCTTTTTCCAGGATGACTTTCCGCTCGTAGTCCTTCAGATACATGGGTTTCACTTTGGCTTGTTTGGATGTTGACGGACCGTCCTCCTTCTGGGATGCGTCTGAAAGCAAAACACGGTCAACCCAGCAGACTGTGCAAGATGACCGAGCCTGAGTGAAGCTTTACTGGTCACTTTTTAAATCACCTTCTGAGTAGAACTTGGCATCTTTCTCGTAGATTTTCGGGTCTTTCTTCTTCAGCAGGGACAGAGTTCTGTAAAAATCCCTGTCTAAAGCAGGATCCAGCTCCTGGGAGGAACAGGTACAAGTCAGGTACCAAGTATCTGTGTTTTAGACGTTTCCCTGCTTCAGCACACCTGATTTCTATTAATGGGTGATTAAAACAAGCAAGGAAACGACTAGAACAATGCAGGGGGACGTTTGGGAAACATTAAACGGGGATATTTTAGCCACAGATGCTAACCACTTCACTGTCGTCAGAGCTGGACTCAGAGGAGTCGCTGTCATCGGCTTGGTCTCCGAATCGGTCCTTCACTGCATAGATGTACAGAAAACACACACACGTCACATCTTCCATGAACTCCTGCCCACAGGACATGACAACTTTATCGCCAACGGTACTTTCTGATCCACGTTGGGTAGTTAGCATCACAGTTAGCAATCAGTAGCACACTTACGCTTCTGCAACTCCTCTTTCTGTCGGTACTTCTCATATTTCTGCGCGAACTGCGAGTTAATTTTCAGTTCCGACCTGCCCGGCATGTTTTCAATGACGGTGGGTTACAGACATTAATGAAAACGAGCCACTGCAGCTGCGACAACAAGCACGTTACGAGTCCAACCACGCCGTTTCCGGTGAGCTGCAACTGATGTAGCCAGCAGAGGGCGCAGTAACGTCAGCTTATGAGTACTTCTGGGGAGATTTTCGGCCATATTGTGAGTGGCAAATTCACACGAGAAAGTCTCATTCAACTGATTTTCTGAGTTGTGTTTAAAGTAAACGATACTCTTATTTATTTCTAATAAAGGATAGCACTAAAGAAAATAACAAATATAAATAAACAATCAAATCATAACAAAAATGAAAATCTTAAATGTTAAATATATATATTTAACATTTACTGAATTTAATATTAACTAGCTAAACAAAACTTTAGCTTAGCTATTTTTTTTCAAATATTCCTATTATTATTATTATTATTATTATTATTATTAGTAGTAGTAGTAGTAGTAGTAGTAGTAGTAGTAGTAGTTGTTGTTGTTGTTGTAGTAGTCGTCGGGTGATTCTCTGAATTCGGTACATTTTGGGGTCTAAGGTTACTTAAAAATATAGGCTACCACAAAAAATTATGTTTTTGAACACGGCATCTATTGAAGGACTCTGAACCTCCAAGAAAATATGTTTCCCCACTTTATGCATGAAATGACAAACAGTATTATGAATTTCTTTGTTACTTAGGTTGCTTTAAATTCAATCCCGTAACGGGGACAATTTGATTCCTCTATCAGTATAACTTAATAACATTAACAAATTTTTCAAGTTCCTTTGAGATCGCGTGTCCCTTTACTAACTGTAAATATATTTTATTTGATTGTGAATCATCATAATTAGACTGATAAGTAGAATATGGCAACTTAATGTAAAAGCGCTTTTCATAAATCAAGAAAATACACTTTAAAATAAATATTAAATCAGGCTTTTTTATGTTTTTGAATCATTCTTTAAACTTTGTATATAGTCCAACAAATATCAGTCTATTATTTGCTGCTATTATATAAAAAAAAATCATAACAATGTATCATGTAACGGGGTTGAATCCATTGTAAAAGTTGACCAGTCCAACATTCAACCCCATAACAAAACCCTGTTTTTGTAACAGTTAAAGTACAAAAACAGCACTTTAACTGTTTTTGTACAGTAACGGAGTACAACTGTTTTGTACCCTGTAACAAAACCACCACTAAAAGTTGCCATAAGTCTACATCAGGACCGACTCTTTTGGGGGCAAAGTGACTGTGCACAGCTGAACATAGACAATTACATCTGTAGTGTACAGGCTACTTGTTAAGCTTAAGGTGATGTATTGATATTAGCTAGTCATCTTTTAGCTAACATTAGCTAGTCATCTTTTAGCTAACATTAGCTAGTCATCTTTTAGCTAACATTACCTGCATCCAACAGCTTTTCTCAACAGTCGGTTCGTTTGGGGGAAAAACTGTGAAAAGTTCTTTGCGTTTTGCTGGTTTGCTGCCATGATTCTAACACACCTGAGTATCTCTGCACAACAGCAGCAGGTCTCCGTCGCTGCCGCACAGGTGTAAAACCCAGCGCGAGCGTCGTAGCGCTCATGTTGCGTTTAAAGGCGGCTCGGAAAAACAGGTTACGACATGTTAACAACGGATTAAACAGTTTTAACTGCTGATAAAAGTGACAGAGGACACAGATATGGGAAGTGTGGAAGCCTCTACTGTATCAAATTGACATAGGAATAACAGAGAGTTGGCCATTCTAAGGTAAAAACCCAGTACATACAGTGTTCTTTTTTTTTTTTCATCCAGACGGCTTCCCGCGTCCCCCCTGCAATGGCACGGCGCCTCCCCTAGGGGGCGCGCCCCACAGTTTTGGAACCTCTGAGCTAGGGTATTGAGCAACATATGATATAATGAAAACAAGAAATTAATATATTTTTCAAAGACAATTCTTTACTTTTTCCCAAACAACAATACATATCATTTATGTGTGTAACAGGGTAGAAAGGTTGAGCTTGACGATAACGATATTTGGATAAAAAAATAACTAAATATAGGTAAGAAATTTTTCTAACACTTAAATCAGTGTGAGCAGGAAGAGACTTCAGTGATGTCACTTCCAGGGTGCTGAGGAAATTGGACTGAACCATTATTTATAAAAAGGAGGAATTAGTATGTTGCTACGGGGCTGAACAAAACTTGAGAGACAGGATTAAAAAGTGCTATTTTATAAATAATTCATGTATTTTTCTCATATTTATTTTATTTAGGTTAAAGTTGACCTAAAATGTTTATAATGGTACAAATAACTTGCAATTACTGTCTATTTTTATTTGATTTATATTCATTGAAAAATGAACATTGGTCAGTGGGGACATGCCCATAAAAGTTTTCAAAACATAATTTTTAGAATATATTTGCATGTTACATTACCAAGACACATGAATATTTCCATTTCTTGATTTTCTCAAAAAATGCAATTTGCATTATATGAAAATCTTTGAGATAAGCCTGTGGGACACAAAATGCACCAAATTCAGAGAATTACCCGGTCGTAGTAATAGTCTTTCCACTGAAATGTTACAAATTTCCACCAAAAATAAAGAGGTCATTTTAAATGCTTGTATGATGTCAACAAAAAATTAAAAAAGGGTGGGCGCAGTGGGTTCCAATCACCAATGCTAGTGTGCCATTTGGTCAGCAGAGTTTGACTGTGGGTGGTCTTTCTCTAACAAAACAGTGTGCGAGCAAAGGTCAGTGAATCTCCAGGAACGGGTCAACACAGCTGAGGGCTGTTTTTTACCACGAGCATCAGGTGAGGAGTGATGTCACATCCTCTGTGGTGGAGAGACGGCACGTGTTGAAATAATGCCCAGAACCCAAAACGTAAAAAGTTTTCAGTCTTTGAACTTATTTTTTTTCATATTTTTGTCACATTAAAACCAAAACCTTCACTGTTCTGTGGGATTTTATTGGAAGTAGATAATTAAATGGAAATTGTTTTTTTTTTTAAATAATAAAAACAATTCACTCAAATCACACAGCATTCTGATACAAAACATTCTGTAATCTTAGAACAATCTTCTACCAGAATTAAATCATCACTGTGTATACTTTTCCTTTGACATAGACCTTAACAAGTGCCTTTTTTTTTCTGTGTCGACTGCTTCTTTTAACTCATCCCATCAGTTCAACACTTCCTCGCTCCCTCAGCCTTGAACTTTACTCTTGACATTTTGTGCATTTTATCTGACAACATGTGGGCAGACTCACAGATATGCCAGTTTTGGTCATTTACTAACAAACCAACCCCCCCAAAATACTTCTTGTGTGTGTTGGAGTCTTTTTTTGATTATTCAAAGCTAAAGACACTTTAACTGCTTATGGTGCTCTGAGTAGAGATGCTTTAATTTTAACAAGCAAAACTGAATATCAGCAGAAAGCAATATACTCTGCTGTTCCCTTAATTGAAATAACTTTTGAATTACCAAGTACTCTACTAGCACACACTGTAGCCAGAATTGAGGTGGGGATTTTCACCAGAATGTTTTTGTTTTCTCTCATCATAAATCACGAGGATATAGCCATAAACTCATTGTTTTGTTGTTGTCTCTTTCCCTCCTCAACAACCACACTGGAAAAAAAAAAACAACCTGATAATATGGTTTTCTTTTTGCCGTGATCTGGGGCTTTTCTAGGAAAGTGTTTGCTTTAATAGCTACAGCAGCTCAAAGTAAAAAAACAAAAAAAACAAAAAACAAACCCAGCCTCACATTTTGAGCTCTGACTGCATACAGAAACCATATGGGCCGGATAACCGCACAGAGACGGGAGAGATGAATGGATTTACTCCATGTAAAAGCATTTTCCCTGAAACTGACACCAGAATTTCTTACAGCGTGGCTTCCCGCATAAAATAATTCACAAATAAATCTCAAAAGTGTGGCCTGCATTTGTTTTAATGACCTCCACCAAAGTTGGTGAGAGTGGATGGGGAGACAAATGAATTTCAACGCAGAATATCCATCCATCCATTTTCTGAACACCCTTGTCCCTCAGTGGGGTCGGGAGGGGTGCTGGTGCCTATCACCAGCTTACGTTCCTGGACAGGTCGCCAGTCTGTCGCAGGGCAACACAGACACACAACCATGCACACACACACACCTAGGGGCAATTTAGACAGACCAATTAACCTAACAGTCATGTTTTTTGGACTGTGGGAGGAAACCGGAGTACCCGGAGAAAACCCACGCATGCACAGGGAGAACATGCAAACTCCATGCAGAAAGACCGGGGCCGGGAATCGAACCCAGAACCTTCTTGCTGCACGGCAACAGCTCTACCAACTGCGCCACTGTGCAGCCCTCAATGCAGAATATTCGTAACGAAAACTTGTTAGAGGCTTCAGATGACTTGAAACTGAGGCAGAGGATCAAACTTAAGCTGGAAAACAAGCTAAACTTGAACTCAGAGCTGTAATAAAATGGTTTAGATCAAGTCAGATTAATGTGTTAGAAAGGTCTAGTCAAAGTCCAAACATAAAGCTGTGGCAAGGTTTGAAAATTCATCCAGTCTGACTGAGCTGGATCGATTTCGTATGGTTGAAATGTGTACCGTTAATGCATGAGCAAATTCCACTGATTTAGTTTTATAGCTACTTTATGTTCTACATTAATAAACTGCTTGGAAATTAGGTTCCAAATGAGAAGAGTACAGCATTAAAGTTAACTAGAACAAAATAAACAGCTAAGGTTTGATACTGAAAGTTTCCATAATCTTGATCTACCAGTTGAAGAGACAGTATTATGTAATTTCAACTTTTTTGAGCTTTACATCATGTTATTTGAATCCCCCACTCACCTCCTTCAGACTAGCCAGAGATCCAGAAGTCGTGTTAGAGGAGTTCTGAGAGCTGAACTGGTTTACTTCAAGCTGAAGCAACAATAGAACGTTTTTGAAAAACAGATTCTGAACAAAGTTGATTCTGTAATAAATAGAACTGTCTTTATTTACAGAACATCTTGAAAAGCTAAAACATCAGCAAAACAAGTGAACAAGTATGTAGAAGACAAATTATGTACATCTATGAACATATTTACAAACTGTGGTTAATCATTGAACAGAAAAAAGACTTCATGTATGTTTCTCCTTCCCTGTCTGACACCATAATAGCTGTTTCCATTCACCATAAAATTGCACAAATTGAAATTACAAAAATAAATTTAATTAACAAACATGCCAATCTCTAAAAGAAAAAGAAAAGAAAAAAGAAAAATCGCGTTAGAATTAAGTGGTTTTTCAGCCGTATCAAAATACATGTATTTCACAAAACTGCAATGGAAACGCGTTTGTTCGCGTCACGTGATCAACGGCCGGATGTTCCTATACTGGCGGGAACGACAAAAAAATGGGGGGAAAAAAGGACAACAGGAGGTAGTAGAAAGATGATAGTTTGTTTTCTTGTTTGTTTTTCGGACAATGTGCGGCTGGCTTATCAGTTTATAAAAACGAATTAAATCCACAGGTCTTCTGTAAAGTCACCGTCTACAATTTCCCCATTTCCAAGGGTCATCAACGCCGACGATAGATGATGAGCGCGAGCGCAGCGGCTGAATTATAAACATACGCCATGAAACAGTTACATCCGTTCCTGCCGTGACTTTTAATGTCTTACCGCGTGAACAAGCTTAATCACCCGTGATTTAAACATCAATTGCGAAATTGCGAGCGTTTTTTCGACTTTAGCGGAATATAGTCAAAAGATTTGCGCACACTCGTAACGGAAACGCAACCAACGACGTCACGTGAACTCAGCAGAACCATTTCATTAACACGGGATGAAGAACAGATTTATAACATAAAATCTTGAGTTCAATAGCACCAACATGAACACAGAGACACATCTCAATAAAAGGCACATACATTCGCTGTAAAACAAAGCTATAACTTATATCTAGATGCTGTTGTTTTTTATTACCACATAAGTGCACATGCCATTCCTTCACCAGGAATGCTGGTGTAAAAGGGGAGGACATAAATATATACTTGACTGGATGCAGAGCATTAAACTCGGCTTGGCTGGTCCCACGTGGCTGCATCAAAGTTTCCCCAGCTCCGAGGAATGCTGAACATATGAACCTTCTGGTCGTTCCATACCGGAGACATCTGGAGAAGATCTAGAGAGCTACACCAAACTTCAAGCAGTGTTTGGTTCTGACGTTTTGTTTTGTTTTTTTTCTAAGCAGGTGAAGTGTAACCACTACCTGAAGAACTTACATTAGTGTCTTTCGGCGGAAGATTTTTGCGCAACTAAAAAAACCGCAGCCATCTTCTCAGTGATTGACCTGTTGCATTCATGACTTAGTGGAACTATGTTACTGCATGCAGAGCCAGACAAATTGATTGTTAGCTGCAGTTAGAGGTTAAAAAAAACCAAAAAAAAAAAAAAAACCCTGCCAGTAGAGTACTGTTCAATCTGTCTTAGGTATCTGAAGTGATAAATAACACACACACACACACACAAATAAATCTCTATTAAAAGCTTCTCGACTTCTCCTAAACACTTGCTTGATTAGGAAGTTGCAATGAACATTAAGAGAATCAAGAGAAAGCTAAAATATATATATATAATAATCTCATCTTAAAAACCGCTTTGCTCCAATTTAACCATCAGGATCACAGTTTAAATATACTGGAGAAAACATGACAGTCAGCTGGTTTGTTTTAAGACATAAACCTGAGATGCTGTATAACATGTGATGTGCACTCCGACGTCAACTTTTTCACCCTGTTATTTTCAAAGTAAAGCATTCGTTTGTTAGTGAGGATGTAGTGGTCTAAGGCTGTCGGACGCAGGCTTCGCATGTTCTCTGCGTGAGGTAAAAAAAATAATAATGAGAATACTAAAGGCCTCGAATAGTGTGTTCACTGAGGCACAATGTTTTTCCCACTTTGTCCTTCTTCTTTCAGTTTTCAATGAAGGAAGGATTGTCCGCCTCTTCGTCCAAGCTCACAATTTGTCTCTGATGAAATGAGAAAAAAGAATGTTAGACGTACGACAGATTGTACCAGGAAGGTTTCTGCTAACGTGGCATTGCAATAGCAATCGTGTAAACATGTCACAATCATAAACTCCAGTGTAAGTTGCACAATTTTATAGCAATGTACAATATATTGGCACCAACATCGGTTATCTGCTGATATTACCCATTTGTAACTTATCGATATCAGTCCGATAACTGGGCCGATATTAACAACCGAGATTTATTTTTATTTTGTCCTTTTCCAAAGGTGTCGAAATGGTAGTGAAATGGATATAATACTGGTAGATATTGGTCATCGCCCACAACAGCAAGATTAATATCGGATATCGATATTGGCCCAAATTTTTTGCATCAGTGCATCCCTACAATTTTATGTAATAAACCAACACAAAGTATGGAGTCATTGTGAAGAGATAAACACTTTCAACCTACAAATAAATATTTAAAAAAATGTTTAGTGGAATTATATTCAGCTCTCTTTGCTCTGATAACTAAATAAATTCCAGTGCAACCAATTGTCTTTAACCTGTCATTCACAGGTTGTCATTCACAATGACAGGTTAACCCAGGGTGTCAAACTCCAGTCCTCAAGGGCCGCTGTCCTGCAGTGTTTAGATGTGCCACAGGTAAAAAACAGTGGAATGAAATGGCTTAATTACCTCCTCCCTGTGTAGATCGGTTCTCCTGAGCCTTGTTAATGACCTAATTATTCTTTTCAGGTGTGGTGCAGCAGAGGCACATGTAAAAGTTGCAGGACAGAGGCCCTTGAGGACTGGAGTTTGACACCCCTGGACCTGTCACGAGAGGACCCAAATTTGGGTCCTCTCGTGAATGACAGGTTAAGAGAATCCTAAGTGTTAGAGTGGCCCGTTCAAAGACCAGCTTTAAATTCAACTGAGAATTTGTGGCAAGACTTGAAAACTCATTAACAGATGCTTTCCATCCAATCTGACTGAGCTTAGGCTATTTTGCAAAGAAGAATGCTTAGAAATCTCAAGCTCTATGTGTAAAGTCAGTAGAGGCATGCTGAAAAACTCTTGGTGGATAATTTTCTAGTTTGTGTTGGTATATTATCACACATACTCTTATATAATACGCTGAACTTTGTGGTTGTTATGTCAAAAAGTTCAAATGGTATGAATACTTTATTACAAGCAGCCTTAAAGACTTACTTTAGGGTAGGCGTAACCTTCCAGGCTCTGGCTCCTCCAGATGTGAACCTGGTCCTCAGTGGTTTTCTGATAGACGGGGTTGTGAAAGTGCATTGTGTTGGTGTTCTGGAGCCTGTAGTATCGCCATAGCAACACGCCCCCGACAGCCACCAGACAAAGTATCGCTGTTTTGGGAGGGAGAAATCAAAAGTGAGAGATGTGAGAAAGATGTTTCTGATTGTTGAGAAAAATCAAAATGAGGCCAAACATACCTAGAGGAAGGACAAAGTAAAGCGTTTTTGAGGTGTTGGACGTAGTTTCAGGAACAGCTGCGACACCTTTAGGTGGAACACCTGAGGATAAGATTATCATGTAATGTTATCATAATGATCAGAGAGAAGGAATCTATAAAAGCAAAAATATTTACAACTGCTACTTTCAAAACTTGCCTGGAGTTGTGACAGGAGCAGCTGTGGTAGTCTGCCAGATTTTAGACTTTTCTGGCTGAGGCGAGGGCTTCTTTGGTAAAGGTGTGGTGGTCCGAACCGTAGGCTTAGTGGTACGCCGCACTGGCTTGGTGGCTGTAGTGGTGATAATAGGAGGCACTGCGGTAGTAATTGGAACCCGGGGCTTCTGCGTCGTCTTTGGTGCCATCGTCTTTGGTGCCGTCATCTTTGGTGGCGTTGCAGGGACAACAGGAGGGTGGGTAGTCGAGGCCTGAGACTCTGAAGAAGCTGAAGGAATTGGAACAGCTGGCAGAATAGAAACCAAGAGAAGAATGTAGCTATTAATATTTAATCTGAGAAATATTAAAACAACAACTTTCTGCGACAATTTACCCACCAGGCACACATGTCCTCATATCCCCTGCTAGCATCATGTTATCTGGACAGACACAGGTGTATTTTGGGGGGTGGGTGCCTATTTGGGGGGCAGCTAGGCACATGAATTCACAGGTGCTGTTGGAGACCTGGCACCAGTTCCTTCCTGCAGCAGGAAATGGAATACAGTTTTGCTTAAGTTGTTGTACAGATGGAAGGTGTTATTAACATTCTCTTTGTTGGGGTCTTTGTACACTTTTTACTAACAGAGAATACTTTTGTGAGTCACTGAGTTACTATCAGTTTTAAGTATGTTTGAGTGGATAGCTATATCTTATTGGGGATGCAACTGTCTTACCAGCAGGTTGTTTGAGGTTGTGGTAAAGAACAATGTCCTCGGGGGACGAAAGATGTTCCGCCACCGGTGCGATGTCACCACCAGTCAGCCTGTTGGCGCTGAGGATGGCGTTATTGCTGACGTCTGTCCAGAACACTCTTTCCTAAAAACGACCAGAGCACTACTTGGAAAATTGCGGAAAGAAAAATATCTTGGTGATCATAATTTGTGGGGGATTTTAGCTGGAAAAAATTTCTACCTCGAATACAGTGAGTCCCAGCGGGTGAGCCAGCTTGTCCTCGTCGATGATCAGGGTGCGCCGACCGCTGCCTTGCACATCGATGCTGGAGAGTGTGTGCAGCTTAGAGTCCACCCAGTAGAGGCGCTGGTTCAGCAGGTCTGAGTCACCAGTGGGGGTTGCATGAGAAGAAGACCATTAGCATTAATGAATAAATAAACAAGCTGAAACCAGATGGGGCATGAGGTCACCTATTGTGATGCCATTGGGCCACACGATGTTGTCTGTGACCAGAGCAGTGCGGTCTACTCCATTAAGGCCTCCCTTCTCGATCTTTGCAGGACTCCCCCAGTCGGTCCAGTACATGAAGCTGTAGGGTAAAAACATTTAAAGATGCTGACGGCTGCAGATCACGCAAACATAAAAATAAGACAAAAATAAAAAAAACGACAAAGAAACGCACTTGGTAAGTGGGTCCACCACAATGGCACGGGGCTTTGATAGGTCTTGGTGAAAGAGAGTTTTGCGGCGGCTACCGTCAGCAGTTACCACGGAGACAGTCTTCCGGATGCTGTCAGTCCAGTACAGGTTGCCGTGGACCCAATCGAAGGCTATTCCTTCAGGACCATCGATGTCGCTGCCTATCACCACATGGTGACGGGAGAAGTCCTCTGCTGAGTCCATTGGCGTTCTGGGTGAAAGGTCAAAGCAGCAGTCAAACAAAACCAAACGGGAACATAAAACAATAACACAGCAACTTAAATGTGAATTTAATCCTACCAACCTGTAGATTTTCTTCAGTGAAAGATCGGACCAGTACATCTCTTGGGTGGCGACGTTCATGTCCAGGGCCACCACATTCTTTAATCGGGGGATCACTCTTGTGTACTCACTTCTGTCCAGGGTCATCTTTCTGACCTCGTGACGGTTGGTGAAGAAAAGGTATGGTGTTGTACCTGCAAAATATATGTCAAGAATTTAAACTATATTATAAAATGATTAACTCATTTTTTTTAAATAAAGGTCATGGGTTTTAAACCGTGGAGTAGCTGTGGAGTAGCTGTGGAAGAGTCATTGTGGCCAGACAGGCAAAATAAAGTAAATTAGAATTTTTCATGATATTTAAATTTATTTCAAACTCTAACTATAGCCAAGGGTGCATTCACACCAACCCTGTTTAGTCCGCTGTTTTGTTGTTTGTTTGGGGAAGAGTGAAGTTGTGATCGAATTCTGATGCGGACCAAAAAAGTGAACTCTGGTTCACCTAAAAACCTATGTCCCGGTTCGACTGAATGAACTTGAGGATGGTTCAGATACTTATGAAGATGCAAGTGGAGCAGAGATCAATCCAAAAGCAGGAAGCGGAATATAGCGCAGGGCATTCTGGGTAAGTACAACCAAAACAAATGTGAGAGTCTAACTCTAGCGGGAGAAATGACTCGTGGTCTTTCACCAAAGACAAGAGAAATCCTACAACCATTAAAATCTGACGCTACTACGTGTTTGTTTACATTTTATGAAGAAGGAAATTGTGCTCAGTGTCTTGTACAGAGGTTGTTGTGCCATTTCATTCAGTAGTTTCTGGTGCAGCGCCACCACAGGCGAAGAGGGGAACAGGTTTTTCAAATTGTTTGGCTCGTTTGACACAGCGTAGTGTGAAAGAGAACCACACCAGATGAAAATCTAACAAAATTTGCAACTTTGGTTTCCAAATCAAAACAAGTCTGCCGGGTGTGAAAACACCCTAAACCACAGGTTATTCCTCGAAGAAAACTTGCTACTGTAGTGTATCTTCACTTTCCAGCAGGTCAGCAAGCGCCATAGTAGAATGCTTTAGATCACATAAAGCATACTTCAATTGACCCAGTCACTTTAAGAATCTCTGGCAAGAACTGGAAATTGATTTTTACAGATGTTCGCCATCCAATCCGACTGAACTTGAGCTGTTTCGATAATCTCAGTGTCAAGATTAACAAAGTTGTTAGAAAGACACCTACAGCAGTAACAAAAGGTAGTTGGGGGCAAGTACAGAAGTACACCATGTCACTGTACATCAAATAATAACTTTAGGAATGTGTTTTAAAAATCTGTTTGGTGGTCATGCTTACCAACAGCTTTGCAAGCTTGTGTCGCCGGGTCAATGTGATAACCTTCCTGACAGTCGCATTTGTAGCCGCCCATCTGGTTGATGCATATTTGGCTGCAGGTCTCTGGGTTTGCGCACTCATCAATGTCTAACCCGGAGAAGAAAAAAAAAGTTGAGAAACCAACTAGAACATTGCTAAACCAATGAAAATGATGAGTTCCTTCTTATCTGAAAGCACAGCCTGTCACATAGAAAGACAGCAAACAGATTTCTGGCATCACTTCTTAGCAAGTTTACGGTCTGACCTAATCTGACTGAGAGGGAACGGATGTTCAGTCATTTTATCCTGTCGCTCCGTTACTTACCTTCACACCGTCTCTTAGCGACGAGGCTGTATCCAGTTGGACACAGGCACTCGTAGCCGATCTTCAGGTCGTTGCAGATGTGAGAGCAGCCGCCGTTGTTGTAGAGGCACTCGTTGGAGCCTGCAGAGATGAGAAGGTGATTTATTTTCCCGAGGTTATAACTGCAACTTTCAGAGGACACAATTAGACGTAATTAAGCGGGAAAGCTTTGAATGTGGAGTGTCGCTGCTCACCACACTCCCTAAGTGGCTCGTCTGACCAGTCCCTGCAGTCACGCTTGTTGTCGCATACCCGCTCCATGCTTATGCACTCCCCGCTGCGACACTTGAACCAGTTCGGACCATCGCAGTGGCTCGCTGGGGGACGGGAGGGCATGAAAAACGCATCAGGTAACACCCAAAATACGCCGCTGGTCTTCAGGAAGACAGAGCGGGAGACAGGGTTGACGTGTACCGTTGACACAGCCGACTTCGTCGCTCCTGTCTGTGCAGTCGTAGCGGTGGTTGCATTGGTTGCTGCCGTGGATGCACGTACCATCGCCGCATTCAAATTCATCAGGACGACATGTGGAATGAGCTACAGAAAGAGAGAGAGAACAGTGGAGGGAATTTTTTTTAACATGTGTTCTATGTTTTTTACATTTTTTACCAGATAATGTCTCTGATTGTGATTTGCTGGTGTGCTAAAGTCTTAGAAATGGCAGAACCAATTACTTTGTTTCTCATCTTTCATTGACTTCCTTAAAGTTGAGAGTGAGGAGTTCCTTTTTGATACTTTTACTCTGCTTCATGCTGTCAGACAGGTCCTACTTAAACTATGAGCTATGTCTGGGATAATCAGGCTCAGCTTTTGTAGTTAAAGCATAACTTAATAATTTGGTTACATTTTATTTATTTATTTTTTTAAATAAAACGCTTTGTTGATCATGTATCTGTTTGAAGGACAACAAGAAACTACTTTATCTGCATTACCAGTTCAGAAACTTATCAGTTAAATCTTTGAATAAAAAAATTAAATGAAATTATTTACCACATCCATCTTCATCGGATCGATCAAGGCAGTCAGTATCGCCATCGCACCTCCAGCTGACATGGATGCACTCCCCGTTGCCGCACTGGTATTCCTGGGAGGAGCACTGGTGAATGGGAGAGCGCGTGGGGGTCCTGGTGGCGCAGTTCTGCGGCCACTCGTCGGAGCCGTCGGAGCAATCTGCGTCGCCGTCGCAGGCCCACAGCCGGGGAACACAAACGGTGTTGTTGCATTGGAAGGACAAGCCGCTGCATGTGATTGGCGGGCAGGAGACCTCGTCGCTGCCGTCATCGCAGTCGGCATCTTTGTCGCACACGAAGGAGGAGGAGACGCACTGGCCGTTCGTGCAGCGAAACTCGGAGTCTGAGCACCGCTTGGCAGCTGGGATAGATGGGAATATATATATATATTAGGATTTCTACCTTTATTTTACAACAGACCGACAGGAAAGAGGATTGTCGAGGACTGAAGCCTCTATACATGGGTCGCGCGCGTTACCGCCGCTCACAACATGGAAAAATTTAAGCTAACCGCGAAGCAAAGACAGAAAACAGGCCAGCAAAAACATAAATAAATAAAATAAAAGACCGGTTCTGAAATAAGCCAAACAGGGTAAAGGTAAAGGTAATTTTATTTAAATAGCACATTTCAGCAACAAGGCAATACAAAGTGCTTTACAGGAATTAAAAGGAACACCAGCTTACCACAGTTCTGTTCATCGGCTCCACTCACGCAGTCCGCTTCTCCGTCACAGTGCCAGGTGCCCGGTATGCACTGGGTCAGATGACCCGAGCACCTGAACTCCGTTGGTTTGCACGTTTTAGCCACTGGAATTGATAGTACAGAAAATATTGGATATTTAACCAAATTTATATTTGCTACCCTATTGAGATATTTGGGTTTGTGTAAACTGAAAGTAAGCCAATACGGGGTTGAAACGATTAATTGTGATTAATGAAATAATGGTCAACAAATTAGATTAACCTGAGCAAAAACTACATTCATTCCACATATTCATTTTGGATTTAACATATGTAAATATGTTAAAACTCAAGTTGTATAGATTTAGCTTTACCTGGTTCAAATTCTGTAAAAATAAATAAAAAATATATTTCCTAATATGTACATTTTGCTACCCAATTTTTAAACGATTAACAGTCAACAGATCAGCCCTGCATCATTTACTCTGCAAATGATCAAGAGTTCACTAAAGGAATGCTCTTGTTCTCTTGCATTTTAGTAAAAAAAATAGTAAAAATAAAAATAGCATATATATATATATATATATATATATATATATATATTAAAAAAAATTATTTACTTATTTGTTTACATCTTTTAATATATTTCTAATACTGCATAAAAAAACTTAAATGAAAAATCTGCAGAATTTTATCCAATTAATCCAATTTATCAATAGAACGATCGATTACTTAAATAATCATTAGTTGCAGCATATGAACACAGTCCGGCATTGGAGGACGCTCACCGCAGGTTCCGGGAAGCTCATCTGTGCCGTCTCCACAGTCGTCTGTGCCATCACACATCCACATGGATGTGATGATCTTCCCATTCCCACAGAGGAACTGGCCGGGGCCCTGGGTTAAAGCCTCTGTGACAGAAATATGAACATGTGGCTTTAGAAATAATCCAAAACCTAAATCAAAATGGTTTTGTATCAACAATTTAACAGAAGACCAAAGAAGACTGTGATGCGAGCTTCTTCATTATTTTACGTAAGTTGCTCTTAAAATTTCCAAGGTGGGGCCTCCGTAGGTTGGATTTGTGTGTTCACCACATCCCACATTCATTTCACTGGACTGAGATCCAGAGAATAATTTAGAAGCCGAGTCAGCACCTCCACATTTAATGTCAGTTTCCCAAAGTTCAGAAGCCGTAACACTCACCAGTGTAAAACTACCCACAAGTCCAATTTGTTCATGCACTTTTTTTTTAAATAAGAAAGGCTGGAGTGTGCATTTAGTCCTCCACACCAGCAGGGGTCCCCACAGAGCACTTGACGTTTCACATTAATCAGATTTGCAAATGTACGAGTAACGCATTAGCATCACTTGAATAGCTTTAATAAGCAGGTAAAATGTAACCAGATTTAGTTAAGTAAGCAGTTAAAATGTTAAGTAAGAATGTTTGAAATTTAACGTGAAAGAAAATCCTTAAAATCCACAAAACAAATCATATGTAAAATACTCAACTAATTTCTTTGGTTTCAATTTAACAGCTTGTTTCATCAGTTTATGTTGCTGAAAATGGGAAACTGTTTTCACCCCCACCATCAACACAATGTTTGAAAAAAAAACAAAAAAACACACCACTGCTTCAGAAACAACGATCGCCATGCATCTAAAATCCAAGACGTGACAATGACGTTATTTAACTTTGATTTCAAAATTGTTCTTGTTTTTTTTTTTTCCTGAAACTGGTGCAACGTTACCAAAGCAGTTTCCATGCTGGATGTTTACTTAATGGGCTTAAAGTTCAGAGCTCCAAAGACAAACTGGACCAAATGGCAGCGTTATTGACCGACTGCAAAACACTTCTGGGAAAATAACAAACGTGCTTTTGGTTGCTACACATCTTTGAAATGTTAACAATTTTTTTCTAATGTAACCTACCCTCAACAGATTAACTAAAAGAGGAACAAAGAATAAAAAACATTGGAAACTTAAAGAATCGCCAAAAATTAACTGATTTCTGCATGAGGTGAAACAAATCAGGATTCTCTCTCTGAATCTACATAGATAAAAGTTTGTTTTTTTTTCCATTTATTTCAAATGTTGCAAGGACATTTAAAATAAATGTCCTTGCGACTGGCTGCAGTGGTGACAACCAGTTCCGACATGTTTCGACCACACACCATACGCCCAAAAACCAGCATGCCGAGAACTGGTCTGACAGTAACTTCAGGAGCGCCGGAGTTTAAAACCATAACGACAGGAATGTAGTTTCATCACAGTGTTTTTCTTCTTCTTTTTTTTTTTTTTTTTTTTTTTTAAACATCTGTCCCCTCTGCGGTGGATACATCAGCTCTTCTGGGAAACGCTGAAACACTTACAAGTGAAACATAAATTTATCCAATCATAAACAAGCCCATTTATTTGGAAGTGGCACGAATATTCCCCTTACATCCCGCCCCACTTTGTGTGATGTGACAATTTATTTTAGCCAGATTTTATGTGATAGTTGCACAATTATGAAGTGGTACAAAAAGAAGGAAAATGAAAACTTGAAAGCTAAGGTGCCAGGCTGTATTTTTCAGCTGGAAACTGCTGAATAAGTTGAAGTCAACAGAGTAAAACTTGCTGAAACATGAAAATTGAGCATAAACAGAAATAAGGGTCGAAGTCGAGAGCTAAGGAGTAAAACATTTAGACAAATATTAGAAAAAGAGGCAGAACTGGCAGCTGACCTGCAGAAGAAGCGCAACTGTTTGCAGAAAAGTGCTGAAGAAGCTAAATTGTTTATGCATCGTATTTTATGTGCAATAAACGAAAAACACAACAGTCACCACAGCATGACGCTGCCGCCACCGTGTTTCAGTTTGTCTTTATGGGTTTGTAATTTCTATTTTTATCCTTTTTTTTCTTTGCATCATAATAGAATATAGGTGAACACATTAACCCAAAAGTAATACTGAGTTGATTCTGAAAGTGCACTTTATTTCATTTAGGGGGATCTGAGTACAAGTGGGGTCAACTATAATTGCACATCAACCCATGTGTACATTTTCATTTGCAAAACAAAATTACATTTATATATAATTTTTCTTCCACTTTTACAATTTTGCAGCATTGTTCTCTCACATATTTTTTTTAATTTTAAATTTTTTAAGTTCAAGGGGTATGAATACTTTTGAGCTTTTCAACAGCCAAAAATCAGCACTAACTTTATTGGATGTAAAAATCCCAAGACAATAAGAACTGGTAAAATAAAATAAAATCAATTTAAATAAAATCAATTTAAAAATCTACTAGAAAACACTTTTTTTTTTGTAACTTAAAACCATTTTGCTGAGATGTATAATATTACACATAACAGGAAACGTTTCCTCCTTCCAAATAGAATTTGGAGCGAGCCGGAGAAGATATGTCTGACCTACATACATAAAGACACGACCCCTCCCCTCCTCATCTGGTACAGTTAGAGGAGTGGGCACTTTAAACCCTTGAGGAAAAAGTTTGAATTATTTTCATAAATAAAATAAAAAAGCCACATGACTGAACCACACAATACAGCAAAAGTAGGAGAAAGCGCATGAATTTGAAACATTTAGACTCGCAAAAAAAAAACTAACAAAAAAAAAAAATTGTGGAAATGTGAACTTACTGGTGTGACCAAAGAGGCAGATGACAAGAATCAGAGGGAGTCTCATGTTTCTGGCAGATGAATGACCCCTGAAGCCCACCGGTTCTTACAGAGAGGGAGTCGGACCCCCAACCCTCCCTCCAAGAAAAATTAATAATAAAATAAAAAAAAAATCAAAAAATAGTGGCAGCAGTGTTATTATAGTAATTTGGGCTCCAGCACCGTAGATGCTCGCAGCGTCACAGTCTGACACACAGTGCAGTGATGACAACATCAGAGCCATTTCAATGTGGTCCACGGGTGGGTGGGTGGGACCGGCGGGGGGCCCCGCGGGGTGGGCGGGGTCTGGGCATGGTGTGATTTCGGAGGTGCACGCCCTCCACATATAGGAGGCGGGGTTTCTGAGCCAATAGCGTTTTTACTACGAAATTTAACCCCTTCGGGAGAGTCTGGAGACATTGGGTTTCAGTCATTGGAGACGAAGCTTCGGGCATGTGATCCGAGGGCAGCGAGGCAGCTAGGAGGCTGGATGGAAATGTTATTGGGGTCAAGGAGAAAAATGTTTAAGAAGGGAAAGTTTCTTTCTTCTTCTCTTCCTTTTTCCAAATTGATATTTAGGAAACCTGATAGGTCAGACTAACACAGTGGTTCTGAGTCTCTTTAAAACTACTTTAGAACAAGTAGGAAATCAATATTTACTATAACATTCTGATTATTTTTTACTTTTTTTCACATTTTCACATCACACCCACAAACAGACGTTATTAAGGTTTAATGTTGTAGACCAACACAAAGTAGAGTGTAATTATGAAATTAGAAAGAAAATGGTTTGAAATTTTTTACTTTTGGTTCAAGCAGGACAATCTTTTTTTCTGGAACTATAATTGAAAATCTTATGTGGCAATTCATATTCTCACAAATTCTCAATTGGCTATAAGTCTGGACTTTGACCATTCCAATACAAGAATAGAATGAAATTTCTAGACTGGATTTTATTTAAGAGGTCCACAAATGTACAATGTTACCTTCCTAAAATAATGGTCTACATGTCAATTTTCCCAAATGTGATTTTGGCAAGTCTTGTCTTTCCAAACAATATTTTAGGCGTTGGGGCGGGGAGGCTATTTTAGGATAGTGATGACATTCAGCCATTTAGTATTTGTCTCTGTAAGCAATTTTTTTAACTTAATTTAAATTTAATGATGCTAATTGTGCTGGTCAATTCAGTGAAATGTCCAAGCTGTATTAAAAGTTTTGCAACATACATTTTGACAGGGCAGAGTGTAATTGTATTCAAACTGATTTAAAAGTTTTCCAAGCTTAAAGTCAGAAAAACAAAGCGAAAGTGTCCCCAGAGTTTGTAATTCAATTGGAGAAAAATCAGTTTCTCACCAATGTTGACCTCAAAATCCAATATGGCTGCCTTACGTATGAAACCCAGGCAGTTTGAATCACATTACATCGTTCAAATAGACAGTACTACATAATCTTCTTCAGTAAATTTGTTGCTACTCTCATTAAAAGTACAAAAATACAGACAAAATGTAAAAACAATAGCTAGCTTGCATTGTTAGTAGCCATTAGCAACAGATTTTCAATAACTGGAACTCAGTTAAATTAGTTTCGACGTCATTCCTAGATCAAAGTTATGACTGTAGAGGTAAATGAATCACGAGGGTAAGAGAGATTCACCTCACAGACAAACCAACAGACACAATTTACTCTGAGGCAACCAAACTAACAGATGATAAACCTCAGAAGAACGCTGTGTGTATCAAATTAGCCGATCAAATCACTCTAATATAGACTTATGAGGTAAATGTCTTTGTCAGCTTTGCAAAAGTTTGTTTGACCTTCTAAAATTCCAAAAACGGTCAATAATTTTCACATCACTGCATCGTACGGTTACACATCTGTAACTGTATGATGCAGTTACAGATGCATCATACATCTGTAACTGCAGATGTATTTCCGGAAACGAAAACCGGATTTTTGTTTCCGGTTTCGAAATGATAAAAATGTTCCAAGACGCAGGGCTTCGATGTGGTGTACACCCTGCTGCTGTAACCTAAACCGTTAACAGGCGGAGTCAGAGGTGTCACAGCCGTTTGAGGATCTCAACCGCTCCATTGTTGGGCCTAATGGGTTTTTAGTGATTGCCAACTGTGAGCGTCAAATCAGATTCTGCTGGGCGAAATGTGAGTTTCCTCCGGCTCTCCCAAAACGGGAATTTCGGTTTCAGTTTTTACATCACAGTTAGTTGGAAAAAGCTAAACTGTGATGTTAACCCCATAGTCAAAGACAATGTGAAGTTATTCATTGACTTATAAGATGCTAGCTGCCAAAAAAAAAAAAAAAAGAAAAAGCAAAAACTCTTTGATTCAGTAGCTGTTTTTGCAGAGATTCATTGAAGATCAGCAACAAAGTCATACTAAGAATTTTAGGTCCAGTTTTTGGTGCAAGTATCTTCGCAAACTTGAAATAAGACAAAACTATAAGTACATTTTCAAGACATAGGAGTTAGTTTGAAGTCACTTGTTTCTTAAATTTTGGGGGAAAGTACTTATTCCATTGGTAGATTATTCCACTTATAACATTGGAAAATTGTTTTAAGTGAAATAATCTTCCAATGGAGCTTGTACTTTTTAATCAATATTAAGGAATTTACTTAAATCAAGCTCCAAGCTCCTATGTCTTGCAGAAAAGTTACTTTTAAGTATGTTTTGTCTTATTTCAAGTGTACTAAGATATTTGCATTAGGAGCTAGAAAAAAATTCACTTGGTAAGATTTTGATTTTTTTTTGTAATGAATTGCTTTAATTCACTTCTAGAAAATAAGCAAACGTATCAGGTGAGAAGTGACAAAAACAACGAGCAATTACAGAAAGCGAAGGGAGAAAAGTACAAATTCATTACACAGAAGCGACGGCGGGGTGTGGACTGAAAGGGTCTGAGTTTGGGGCGATAACTCTGCAAGTTCTGCTTGCAGAGTTGAGGTTCCTTTAAACGGCCTCAGACACTCTGCAGACCCGGCTCTGTGTTTGTTCAAGTGCTGAGGCATGTGCTCCGAGACGGTGAAGAAGGAGAGGGGCGTGTGGGTGTGTGAGGGGAGGAAATATTCCCTGCAAAAATCTTTTTTTTTTTTCTCCCCAGGAAAGTTGAGCCTGTCAGTTCAAGTGTGGTCTCACTCAATGCAGTTATAATTACGGCATTAAAATTAATTTATGGTTTTTAATGATTTAATCCGACCATTTGGAGAGGAATGGCTTTTAGAAGCAAGAATCAAACAAGTTGGAAATTATTAATTTTTCCTCCTTTTTCTCCCCACACATGGTCAAAATTATAAGTTTTAAAAATAAGTACAGTGGTTCTCAAAAGAGGACACACCCCAAACTGTCTGGTTTTTAGGTTTTAAAAATGAGACCATCATAAATCACGTTTAAACATTTTCGTTTTGCAATGGGACAGACGGTCATGTTCACCGGAAAATATCAGACTTCAGTTCACACCGACTGCAGAGAATCTGGTTAATGTGAAGTGAAGTTCAGATGATTTATCTCATTACATGAAGGCATTATTCACGTAATAGTAGATTCGTTTCCATTACAAATGAGCACAAAACTTTGTCAATATTCTGCTAATGTCAGCAAACAAACAAAAAACTGCAAATGCGGTGTTTCCATTAAATAAGAAACGCAATAAAAAACAAACGTGAATAAGTCATTAAAAAACATGTAGCGAGATCCTCCACCTACAACTTCCTGTTGTGGTCTTCTTCGTAGTTTGTGCCAGTGACAACATCCGGTTGTTGATCATGGGACTTTTGTGACGCAAAAAGTTCTTCAAATAAGCCAATTTCAATATGGCAACCCCCTCCACCAAAAAAAAGGAAAAAAAAAACTTTCACCTTAGAGTCAAAACATTTTATCAAAAAACAAGTTATTTTTTTAAACTGTGGTGTGTCCAATTAAGTGAATTTATTTTCAAAATGTCAAATTTCGCAATTATAGTCAGTGGAAATGCAGAGTAGTAAAATATTTTTATAAAAGTGTTAGGAAAATGGGACTTAAACTGGTCGTCGGAGTAGCCAACAGCATTTTCACAGGAGCTTCAGCAGTTTTGTTCTGTGTGACAGAAATCATCTGGAGTCCGCAGGTCTCAGCTGAGAACTGGGGAGTCTTCTTTCAACACAAAGTAACTGAGCCTGCTGTTAAAAGTGAAGAATGACTGAGAAAGAGGCGAAAGAAACGATGAGGACGAGAGGAGGCTCTCATGGGGCCCCCTAGTGGACAGATGGAGTCAATGCAGGGAGAAGTCTGTACCAAAAACCAAACTGAAGCTTTCAGGCCTTTTCAGTCGTTGCTCCAAAACTATTCAGCAAAATGGTAAACTTTTCAAACTCTGAAATTTCCACGTCTTATTTTCTACCTACAATGGCCCTAATAGGTTGTTGTACATATTTGATATATAGTATTTTTACAACAGTCGAAAGTAACGGTTACTTTATTGTGCTCTAAAATGAGACTATGTGACTGGAAAACAGAAAATACAGCCTTTTAAAAATGCTGTTAGATTGCAGTCTTTGTTTTATTTTTAATAATGATTTTATTTCATTATTGGTCTTGGTTTGTTCTCCGTATCCCCCCTAACATCCATCCATCCATTTTCTGAGCACCCTTGTCCCTCAGTGGGGTCGGGAGGGGTGCTGGTGCCTATCTCCAGCTAACGTTCCGGGCGAGAGGCGGGGTACATCCTGGACAGGTCGCCAGTCTGTCGCAGGGCAACACAGACACACAAGCATGCGCACACACACACTCACACCTAGGGGCAATTTTAGACAGACCAATTAACCTAACAGTCATGTTTTTTGGACTGTGGGAGGAAACCGGAGTACCCGGAGAAAGCCCACGCATGCACAGGGAGAACATGCAAACTCCATGCAGAAAGACCGGGGCCGGGAATCGAACCCAGAACCTTCTTGCTGCACGGCAACAGCTCTACCAACTGCGCCACTGTGCAGCCCCCCCCTAACATATACTTCATAAATAAAACAAATGTGGTTCATTCACTAATGCTCTCCAACAATCTGTAAATTACATCCGGTGACTTCAGAGTGACGCAACAGATCAGGCATATTAACGGATGAGTTGAGATGTCTTTATTGTACTTTATGGAATCCAGTGACAGTGACACGAGAAAAAGGTCCTGTCCCCCCCCCTCCCCTTTACTAAACGTGACCTGAGAGGGAGGAG